GATCCCCAGTGGGGGGCATGCAGGAGGCGGCCCCTCGATGTTCTCTCTCACTGATGTCTGTATCTCTCCATTTGACTCTATATCTCTGTACAAGTATATCTGCTTTGAGTTTCTCTCTCAGCTCCAGAAATCAGGAACTCGGTTGTGATGGAACCCACACCCCACCCTCCAACGTTCTCCCCTCCCCCCTCAGCTCAGCCTGGGCCACGTGAAGGTGCGATTTTATTCAAAGAGACCAAAAAGACCAGGTCCTGCGGAATGTAAGTAGGGGTGAGAGGAGAGAAAAGTCTGGATTCTGAAAGAGTATCATTTCCGATGAGACACATAATAGACGTCCAGCCTTGATGATGAAGGAAAATGAAGCTAAAGGGTTGGGTGATCCGCCTCCCTGTAGATTTCAAAAATAAACATAATAGGGGCTGCCTGTGGTTCAACCAGGCGACTTCCCAAAGTCCATTTGTGTGAGATGGGAATTATTTTTAAAAGCAAAGACAAAGCTTTCTGCTCCGTGTGAGACCAGTTGGGGGTTCGGTGACTCTCACTGAGGAACAGCAAGGCTCTGCCGGAGACCCTGTTCCAGTATTAGGCCCATCGCAACATGGTTCCGTGCTGTTTCCGAAATGAGAAAGACAACGCCAGACTAATTTTCAACTTTCTTTTACTTAAGACATTCCGAAAAAAATACTCCTTTGCCTACTTCATTTGGTGTCTTCTTTTCTGAGGTACAGAAGGTTAGATGCCACCCAGCACGGTCATTTACAATTAGATGGGGGCCCACTTCACACACTTCGGTTGTCCCAGACTTCCCAACGTCGAAATGCACATTTAAGTGTTATTTTTAAACCTCTTCTCCTGGGTCTTAATTTCTTTTTCAGATGAAAATGCACTTGATCACCCAACCTCGAGCTCACGTTTTACCGCTTTTGCGTTGCTTGCGTGTTGAAAACGTGTTAAGATGTTCTGCCGTGATCAGAGCCCATGAGGCTTTGAAAATTTATTTCTAAATGTGAGAGATTTTTTTTTTCCTTTTCTTCTTGAGAAGACCCTGGACAAGAGACCGCAATGAGAAGACACTTCACCTTCAAGTACGAGACACGTCGGAGAGCGTGAGTCGAAGAAGCGTCTATCAGGACTTTTACCTGGAGAACTTTTCTCGTATGGGTGGCAATGGATTCCCTCTGTCTACACGGAGCTAAAGGTAATATGTCAACCTCATTTTCAGACGGAGAGATGAGAAATTCTGCGCCTGTCGTAGGTTGGCTGACTTTGGACGGGGAGCGAGGTTGCACCGCCTGACTTGCTTCGTCCGTACATCACGGTTTCTAACGGCGGACGGAGATGGAGCACCGCGGGGTAGCCCAGTGCGTTCCTCGGGTGGACCGTTCCCACGACAGCAAACGCCCACGTGTTTGTAGCCCGTTAGGACGAGTTCCTGTTGCACTGGGCTTTGCTCCGCCTACGGTCACCCTTGTGCTGGGAGAGAGCATGCTGCCACCTTCTCTGACAAGCGTGAGAAGTTCCCCCAAACACTTGCGCCGTGGTTTTAATAGTACCAGTGACGTCGTTGACATATCAGACCGATACAATTTAAGGGGAAAGTTTGTGATTTTCAAACTACAACTTACCAAGAAGTGCACATTTCTTAACGTCATTCAGAATATGTCCACGAAAGGGCTCGAGGCAGGAACGGGGTGCTTCCCGGTGGGCTGGGGGAGGGACACATGATGGTCGATCGGAGGTTCCCCCTCAATACCGCTCCCGCGGCACAAGTGGACACACTGCGCGCAAGTATTAAATCCTGAGTATTAAAAAGTCCTGTTCACGGGTAACTTTTATCCCAAATGCTTCTCTCCTTGCTAGAGTTGTATATTATGAGAACCTACCCCCCAAAGAATATACAGCTCGGTGAAATCGTAGGTTTATTTCAAGGTACCAATATTTTCCCCTTCGGGATGACATTTAAGCAGCAGTAAAAGGTGCAGTGTCCCCCACGGGAGAGTGAGTCACCGACCTGTGTGGAAGGGGGCCATGCACGTTCACCCTCCACCACCAGGCCTTGAGGGCCAGAAGAAGCCAGAAGCAGCTACAATGTAACTTCTAACAAGCAAACGGTTCCATCCTTCAAGATACCAGGGTGATGAGGGGGCTTGCTACAATGTAGCTTCTAACAAGTCAAAGGGTTCCATCCTTCAAGACACCCGGGTCATGAGGGGGCTTGTGTGTGTCGCCACCTGCTGACCTAGCTTTAGGGTTGCGGATGGGGGGGCGGGTACATTCATCCACCTGAGCCCCTGGAAGGGCAGCCCCCTGGGGGAGAGCAGGGAGGACCTGTTGTGTTCTAACAATTCAAAACAGCTTCCTAAGTCCACGGGGATGAAGGGTTTGTCTGGGTGCCCGCTGGTCCAAGCAGGTTCGATGGAGGAGTCCATCTCGTCACAGGTGGGTTTTTGTTTGTTTTTATACGTGTGGCCACATCTCAGGGTGGTTTCGTGGCGGGATGACCCCAGGTGAGGCGCAGTGCTACTGGCTGGGTCCAGGACAAACCCGTGGGTGTGTCCTAAGGACACACGTTACAAACAGAAGCTATCGGTCTTCTAGAGGTGGGACCCAGAGGTGCTCCCGTGGACAGGCGAGGATCTGAAAGCTTGCTTGCAGTCATTCGTTCCGAAGGTCAAGGTGACCCCGCACACCGGCTGCCGGCCTGCCAGCAGGGTGTGGACAGTTTCACCCTGACGGCTCGCTTTGTTCTTGCCTCTGCAAATGGATGTGAGTTGGGCTCCAGACGTAATTTTTCTGTCCATAAGTAGATGGGGTGTCTTTCAGGAGACGTTTGGTGTCTGCCTTACTTTGGGAGCCTCCAAAGCAGAGTGTGAGGCAGAGGTCCAAGCACTTCTCGACTTCCTGAGGTGCCCTCGCCGGGGATGGGGGCCCCGGGGAGAAGATGGGGTGCTGAAGAAGACGACTTTCCAGCTGTTGTCCGCTGCAGCCTGGTCCCTGGGGAGCTCTGGGCCGCAGAGCCGGGCACTGGGCACCGGCACCCTGCTGGTTTAAGGGGCTGGGCCTGGGCACGTCTACCCTCCAGCCTGTGGTGACGGTGACTGTCCCACAGATCGGCTCAGCACTTTGACAGTGTGCCAAGGGCAATGGCAGAGCGAGGCCCCGTGGCGTGTGGGCAGTGTTGACCGGGCCGGACACTGGCAGGAAGGGCATGGGCCTGTGCCTGAGTTGCTGCACTCAAGCTCCACGGGCCCGACCGGCAGCCCCAACCTCAGTGACCCTCAGGCTTCTAACCCGTGAAAGGGGGAGGTGAGCGTCTGTCTCCCAGGGTGCTCCTCAGTTCAGGGGAGCTGGTCTCTGTCGAAGCACCGAGAAGTCTGGAGAACAGGACAACTGGCACCGGCCGGGCCGTTGGGTGTAATGACCGCTGTTGACTTGAAGCCGCCTTCAACATACCCAGCCTTTTAACTTCCTGTAAATTCTCTCTTCGTTTCCCGTGTCGCGTAGTCCCTGTCTCCTTCCGTTGTCAGTCCTCCACGCAGTCGAAGGCCCTCTTCGCAAAGGTGGACTCCCAGGGGCGGAAGCCGGCCCCCGAGTCGAGGGCAGGACCATAGGCAGATATGCACGTACCATGACCACCCAGCAGTGCTCGGGAGAGAGGGGAGGTAGACACAACCCAAGTGTCCACCAACAGCTACAGCATCAACAGAATGTGGTCTCTCCATGCACCAGAGTACCACCCAGCCTCCAAAAGGAACGACACTGGGATGCAGCTATAACACGCCTGAAGCTGGAAACACCCTGCTCAGTCAAATGAGCCAGACACAGAAGGACGGATACTGGCTGATGCGCTTATGTGAGGGACCTGGGCAAGTTAACGGGACAGAGAGGACGGTTATTAATGAATAATAACACACGAATAAACTCTGTGCTTCACACACTCACTTCTGTTCTACCCTGCATACGATGTGCGTATGACCACGTGTGTGCATGTCGAAACATGCACACACATATGTTTATGCCTGTACATCTATACACACATGTGTATACATATATTCAGAAATGAGGCCAGCCCCCAAACAGTCGACATGAGGGGAACCAAGTGTGGAGCCCGGTTCATCAGGAACATGAGTCTCGGGCACATCGGACCTGCCGTGGGAACAGACCCAGGGAAGAACTCGCCTACTGCGAGAGCTAACGCCGTTCCACAAGGCGGGCTCGGACATATGCTTTATGAATAAAGTTTCAGAGCAATTTCTTTTTCAAAGTAGCCGACAGCAGGGCCCTTTCCCTGAGCGCTAGCCCTCGGGCCCGCCCAGGATGGACCCTCCTGGGGGCTGGGGCAGGACGCGCGAGGGGCAGCCCACCGCCTGGCGAGGCCCACGGTGGCAGAGAAGTCGCTTCCGGACGAGGCTGTCCCTGGAGTCCACGCGGGACGTTTCTGTCCCTGGCAACACCACATAGAAAGGACGCGAGACACTGTCTATTGTTCATGTGCTAATGTCCCCAAATGTCAGCGAGGTAATTACTTGGATGACATTTACGTGATGAGCTGCACGTGGCTCCGGTTAATACAAAGTCCGCCCTTGGCGACCGCTCCATCTCCACCCGCATCGCGCTGCGCGCCCACGTCCCCGCCTGGGGAACAGACCCCTCCCCGAGGCCCCTCTGCCTCCACCTGCTCTGCACAAGGAGAGGAGAGAGGGCAGCTCCGACGTCTATCTGACCGTTTCCAGCTGGAACTTGGGGAGCTGCTTCTAAACAGAGTCCACAGGACGGAGTAACACCCCACTGTCTTCGTTGGCGAGGTGGAGTCCATTGAACCCGGGGTCTGCATTCCCAAAATGCTCTCTGGGAAACGTTTTGCCTCCATGAATTCATATTTGCTCTCAGAGGGTAGAGGAGCAGCAAAGCTGGGTCCCCCCACCCCCAAAATGGATGTAAGAAAAATACTACGTTTTCATAATCACAAGAGTTCGTCGGTTTCCCCCCCACAAACTCACATGCAAATTGGAGCTTCGCCTTCCGACTCAGGATTGTGCCCAGCAGGTTGGTGGCCAGGCACTGGTACGTGGCCTCGTCCTGACCCGTGGGCGGGCTGCTGACCACCAGGTTGCCTCCGTCCAGCCGGTAGTGAGAACTCGCGGAGAGATCGAGGTCCGTGCCGTTTCTCCTCCACCTTCAAGGGAACAAACGTCACATGATGCTCACAGCACAGAGAGTCGGCCACTCTTTGTCACACACAACATGCATTTGTAATTCCGAGGACCGGTCACAAAGCCCAGCATGGAGACCACCCTACCAGTTCCACCAAAGGTGACTGTCCCCAAGAGCTCAGCGGTGTCAGTCCCTGGGGCCTTGGAAAGATCTACCCTGTACGAATTACAAACCTGGACCCAAACGTGTACAAAGAGGCGACAAGCGGAGAAAAACACAGCCATTCTGTCAACAACACCAGCCACCCTGTCGCTTGAGTGCCCTCCGATAGCCCACGCCACCCTGCCCGCCCGGAGCTGACACCGCGCAACGGAATGTCAGAACGATTCAGGGAGGGACACACAGACGGGTGTGTCACCCACGGCACAAGAAAGATGGCAAACGTCTCTCGATGCCAGTCTGAGGCTGCGGCAGCGGCCAGCCTGGGGGCCACAGACCGCAGCCGTCTCTGGGAGCCTCTCCCTCGGAAGAATAATCACGCCGAGAACCTCCCCGCGGCGCCCGGAAATGTCGAGCTACCCTGCTGCTCGAACACGAACGCAGCTCCGAGGCTTTATTTTAGGCAGCGGCGTCTCTTGGCTTAGTGATTCCTGAGGAGCCCTCTAGCACATGGATTGAGCAGGAGGAAGGCCTCGCCGTCTGTTTTGAGAACGGTGAGATGGCTTTGGGATTTCATTTGGACACTTGAAGAGGGATGAATGCCCAGGAATGCTCTCCAGCCTCCCCCACCCTGCACCCCGACTGAAACCAAAGTAGCCGGACGTTGCGTGTTTGATGAGAATGTTCCCAGGGCACTGGCTCAGTGTGTTCCTATAACCCGGGGAGGGAAACAGACATTTAAAGATGCTGAATTCAGACAACCGGTTGTTTGGAAAAACAAGTGTTGACTCTCCCCGTGAGGCGGAGGCTGTACGCACTTGGCCAGGATCCGTCCACCGTTCTGAGATCAGATAGAAAACGCGTCGGTGGGGAGACAGCTGTAAGAAAGAAATGGCCTTTTCAGAATTCCTCCAAATGGCTCTGGTCTTTTAGGAGCACCCTGAAACACCCGTGGAGAGAGGGGGACAGACGTCTACCACGGCAGAAACGAAATCCGGATGTAGGTCCCTAACCCTCGACCCTGTGAAAGATCAGAAGTTAACCCAGAATCACATTCATCTGAGGTTTTGGCCCAACTCGTCACTTTTAAATTATTCACCCAATGCTGTGCACCTCCATTTATTTATTTTTTAATCCTCACCTGAGGATATTTTTCTATTTATCTTCAGAGAGAGAGAGAAACATCGACGTGAGAGGGACACATCGACGGGTTGCCTCCTGCATGACCCTGACCAGGGCTGGGATGAACCACAACCGAGGTGTGTGCCCTTGGCTGGAATTGAACCCGCAACTCATTGGTCCGCGGGCCAATGCTCTACCACTGAGCCGAACCGGTCAGGGCTCAATTTCTTTTTAATATAAAGAGTTTGAAAGACAATAGTCAAAAATACCACATTTCACTTTCTGAACGTTTTGCCATTTTTTTCTTTTTGTTCTGGAGAAATGGGTGCAGCCTCTTGTTCGCAGTGTTTGGAGAAGCTAGTGGAGAGGGCTCCCCTTCAGGGAGGCTCAGGCCCGCCTGCCCTGCCCACATGGGCACACTGCCCTCACACCCCTCGCAGGGCACCGTCTTTGGGCAAAGAGAGGAGACGCCGCACACGGTTTGCCAGGTCCCTTTAATGTTGAGATCAATCACCGAAATAACCGCTGTCATTGTTACATGCTCCTAATTAAGCCCCGTAATTGTTTTTCAACACAAATTCAAAGTGCTTGGCTTTGCCGGCGCAAATGAATTTTTCACAGTGTCCCCCATAATCGCTCTAATCACTGCGGTGCGATGATTATTAAACTGTGCACACAGATCAGGGGTTCAGCGCCCGGGGTGGGCTGTGTCCTAATTAATATGTTGAAATTGATGGAGAAGTAATATTAATGAATTCAAGTGGTTGTCACGCACGCGTTGCTGGTCGGCCCGCACACCCAGGCACGTTGCCCATGGTGCCGATGAGGAAATGTGCTACACATGATTATTTTAAGCATCTAATTAATGTCCCACTGATTCCAGGAAACTTACTGGTAGGAATTAAAATCCTGACCTTTTTCCGGAAACACCCTTTACTATGGCGAAGTGAAGCTCCAAGTCAGGGACATTATGGCTGGGGCCAGTCTGTCTGTCTGCCCTTCAGTGTGCAAGTGTGTGTGCGCATGTATGTGAGTGTATGTGTGTGAACGTGTGTGAGTATGTGTCATTATGTACGTGTGTGAGAGTGGTGTGTGCATGGGTGTGTATGTCGTGTGTCTGTGAGTGTGGTGTGTGGTGTGAGCATGGTGTATGTGTGGGGTGAGTGTGGGGTGTGTGGGGTGAGTGTGGGGTGAGTGTGGGGTGAGTGTGGGGCGAGTGTGGGGTGAGTGTGGGGTGTGTGTGGGGTGAGCGTGGGGTGTGTGTGGGGTGAGTGTGGGGTGTGTGGGGTGAGTGTGGGGTGAGTGTGGGGCGAGTGTGGGGTGAGTGTGGGGTGAGTGTGGGGAGTGTGGGGTGAGTGTGGGGGGTGTGTGGGGTGAGTGTAGGGTGTGTGTGGGGTGAGTGTGGGGTGTGTGGGGTGAGTGTGGGGTGAGTGTGGGGTGAGTGTGGGGTGAGTGTGGGGAGTGTGGGGTGAGTGTGCGGTGTGTGTGGGGTGAGTGTGGGGAGTGTGTGCGGTGTGTGTGGGGTGAGTGTGGGGAGAGTGTGGGGAGTGTGGGGTGAGTGTGGGGTGAGTGTGGGGTGAGTGTGGGGTGAGTGTGGGGTGAGTGTGGGGAGTGTGGGGTGAGTGTGGGGTGAGTGTGGGGTGTATGGGGGGTGAGTGTGGGGTATGTGGGGTGAGTGTGGGGTGTGTGTGGGGTGAGTGTGGGGTGTGTGGGGTGAGTGTGGGGTGTTTGGGGGGTGAGTGTGGGGTGTGAGGGTGTGTGTGGGGTGAGTGTGGGGTGTGTGTGGGGTGTGTGTGGGGTGAGTGTGGGGTGAGTGTGTGGTGAGTGTGTGGTGAGTGTGGGGTGTGTGGGGTGAGTGTGGGGTGTGTGGGGTGAGTGTGGGGTGAGTGTGGGGAGTGTGTGGGGTGAGTGTGGGGTGAGTGTGGGGAGTGTGGGGTGAGTGTGGGGGGTGTGTGGGGTGAGTGTAGGGTGTGTGTGGGGTGAGTGTGGGGTGTGTGGGGTGAGTGTGGGGTGAGTGTGGGGTGAGTGTGGGGAGTGTGGGGTGAGTGTGCGGTGTGTGTGGGGTGAGTGTGGGGAGTGTGTGCGGTGTGTGTGGGGTGAGTGTGGGGAGAGTGTGGGGAGTGTGGGGTGAGTGTGGGGTGAGTGTGGGGTGAGTGTGGGGTGAGTGTGGTGAGTGTGCGGTGAGTGTGGGGTGAGTGTGGGGTGAGTGTGGGGTGAGTGTGGGGAGTGTGGGGTGAGTGTGGGGTGAGTGTGGGGTGTTTGGGGGGTGAGTGTGGGGTATGTGGGGTGAGTGTGGGGTGTGTGTGGGGTGAGTGTGGGGTGTGTGGGGTGAGTGTGGGGTGTTTGGGGGGTGAGTGTGGGGTGTGAGGGTGTGTGTGGGGTGTGTGTGGGGTGTGTGTGGGGTGAGTGTGGGGTGTGTGGGGTGTGAGTGTGGGGTTTGTGGGGTGAGTGTTGGGTGAGTGTTGGGTGTGTGTGGGGTGTTTGGGGGGTGAGTTTGGGGTGTGTGTGGGGTGTGTGTGGGATGAGTTGGGGGTGAGTAGGGGGTGAGTGTGGGTGAGTGTGGGTGGTGAGTGTGGGGTGAGTGTGGGGTGTTTGGGGGGTGAGTGTGGGGTATGTGGGGTGAGTGTGGGGTGTTTGGGGGGTGAGTGTGGGGTGTGTGGGGTGAGTGTGGGGTGAGTGTGGGGTGTGTGTGGGGTGAGTGTGGGGTGAGTGTGGGGTGTGTGTGGGGTGAGTGTGGGGTGAGTGTGGGGTGTGTGTGGGGTGAGTGTGGGGTGTGTGGGGTGTGTGGGGTGAGTGTGGGGTGTGTGGGGTGAGTGTGGGGTGAGTGTGGGGTGTGTGTGGGATGAGTGTGGGGTGAGTGTGGGGTGTTTGGGGGGTGAGTGTGGGGTGTGTGGGGTGAGTGTGGGGTGTTTGGGGGGTGAGTGTGGGGTGTGTGGGGTGAGTGTGGGGTGTTTGGAAGGTGAGTGTGGGGTGTGTGGGGTGAGTGTGGGGTGATTGTGGTGTGTGTGTGGGGTGAGTGTGGGGTGTGTGGGATGTGAGGGGTGTGTGTGGGGTGAGTGTGGGGTGTGTGGGGTGTGAGTGTGGGGTTTGTGGGGTGAGTGTTGGGTGAGTGTGGGGTGAGTGTGGGGTGTTTGGGGGGTGAGTTTGGGGTGTGTGTGGGGTGTGTGTGGGGTGAGTTGGGGGTGAGTAGGGGGTGAGTGTGGGTGAGTGTGGGTGGTGAGTGTGGGGTGAGTGTGGGGTGTTTGGGGGGTGAGTGTGGGGTGTGTGGGGTGAGTGTGGGGTGTTTGGGGGGTGAGTGTGGGGTGTGTGGGGTGAGTGTGGGGTGAGTGTGGGGTGTGTGTGGGGTGAGTGTGGGGTGAGTGTGGGGTGTGTGTGGGGTGTGTGTGGGGTGAGTGTGGGGTGAGTGTGTGGTGAGTGTGTGGTGAGTGTGGGGTGTGTGGGGTGAGTGTGGGGTGAGTGTGGGGTGTGTGTGGGGTGAGTTTGGGGTGAGTGTGGGGTGTTTGGGGGGTGAGTGTGGGGTGTGTGGGGTGTGTGTGGGGTGAGTGTGGGGTGTTTGGGGGGTGAGTGTGGGGTGTGTGGGGTGAGTGTGGGGTGTTTGGGGGGTGAGTGTGGGGTGTGTGGGGTGAGTGTGGGGTGATTGTGGTGTGTGTGTGGGGTGAGTGTGGGGTGTGTGGGGTGTGAGTGTGGGGTTTGTGGGGTGAGTGTTGGGTGAGTGTGGGGTGAGTGTGGGGTGTTTGGGGGGGTGAGTTTGGGGTGAGTGTGGGGTGAGTGTGGGTGAGTGTGGGGTGTGTGGGTGGTGAGTGTGGGGTGAGTTTGGGTAGGTGTGGGGTGAGTGTGGGGGTGAGGACGAGAGGACGTGCCTGAGCCCAAGAGAGCCCACGGGAGCTCAGAGCCCACAGGAGCCCACGGAAGCCCACGGGAGCCCACAGGTGCCCAGAGCCCAGCCAGCCTCAGGAGAGTCTCTGTGACCCCGGCGAGCCCCCCGGCTGACCAGGCGGAGAGCGGACACGCACAAATCCTCCGCGGTGTTCAGGGTCCCTTTCGGGAGGAGCGTGTGGCCCAGGCGTCCGCTGGGGTCCCTTCGTTTTTCTGAGCCAAACGTGTGCTCTGCCTGGAACTAAGCCGCGGGTGGGTGGTGGCCGGGACTTTCTGGGGCGAGCTCTCTGCCTAGGGCTGTCTTTGGGGAACCTGTGTTCCTTCCCTTTGCGAGGCCCCCGCTGGACTTGAGTTCTCCTGTCCGACCCCCTAAAGAAACCGGGAGATCACGTCCACGGGGACACGTCTGCCTGAACCTGGGGGACACCTGTCTCCTAGCTTCCCCGGATCCTGGTTCCAAGGAGGTTTAACGCCCCAGAAGTGACATAGACCAGCGGCTTTTAAACTATTTCTAAAGTTCTGCTTTAAATGTTGCTAATTTTCCCCTTGAGTTTCAATTTGCTGAAGGACAGTTACTAAGAAATACAAACACACACACACACCTTAGAATCAAGGACACCCCTCCCCGGATGGGTCAGGACGCTCCTGCCAGCAGAGGGGACAGAGGGGACAGCTGTCCCACGGTCACAGGGCGGGGTGACGGGGGGTCTAGAACCCTTACTCGTCTTCACTCCAAGTCGAGACCTCTGCTACACGGCGTCACACGGCACCACGGAACCTCAACTCTTAGAATCAGAGTCACAAAAACGTTCCGCAGTATCACACACTCAACCCAAGGCGAGCATGGCTATTAGCTTTTTGCTATAAAGGTGAATCTAGAAAGGGTCATAGCAAAACTGTAAGCACAGAGCACGGCCGGTGTGGCTCAGGGGTTGAGCGTCAACCCTGCACCAAGAGGTCACCAGTTCGATTCCCGGTCAGGGCACATGCCCAGGTTGTGGGCCCATCCCCAGTGGGGGGCCTGCAGGAGGCGGCCAGTCGATGTTCTCTCTCATGGATGTTTCTCTCTCTCTCCCTCTCTCTCCAAAAAAAAGGAAGGAAGGAAGGAAGGAAGGAAGGAAGGAAGGAAGGAAGGAAGGAAGGAAGGAAGGAAGGAAACTATAAGGCCCATTTTGCTGCTAATGCGTATTCCCAGAGACATCCTCTGCCTTTCCTTTATTGTCAAGGACACTGGGTCTGGGTCTGGCAGGTAAGCATTAAAAACTCAGTGTTTCCCTCACCGTTTTCAAAGCCTCCTGCCTGTTAGGACTTTACGCTGCATCATACTGGAGATGGGATTATCGGGGGGCGGGGTTGGAACTGCATTTACCTGTCTTTAGCCTCCTAATTTACAAGTATCTTAGACACAAAAGCCCTTTAACGATACTGGAATTGGTAGTCTCTTCATTCTGTGTATTTCTTTATAGATAAATCTAACTTGCACATTATCTTGAAAATGACTGTTTTATATTTTTCTGCCTATTAGACACCGACGGCTATTATTTTATAAGTACATGATTCATCGATTGACTGCTCCCGTTCCTTATCTTGCAGGGATTCATCCATGATGTTCCTGCTTTCTTTTTTTTCATCCTCATCCGAGGCCATTTTTTTTTTTTTTTTTTTTGCATTTATCTTCAGATAGAGTGGGAGGGGAAGAGAGAGAGAGAAACATCAATGTGAGAGAAACACATTGACTGGCTGCAACCCACGCAACCCCAACTGGGGCTGGAGACAAACTGCAACTAAGTACGTGCCCTTGGTGGGATTCGAACCCAGGACTCGCTGGTCCGCAGGCCGACGCTCTAACTGCTGAGCCAAACCGGCCAGAGCTATGATGGTCCTTCTTTAACAAACTACCAACCCTTACGGGCCATCATGTTAGTTCCCCCAAAGAAAACCACAATTTTAAGTATTAGGTGATGTAAAAAATGGGTTAGATTTTTATATATTTAACCACATGTTAAATTAAGACAGACAGCTCATTATTTAAGAAAAAACAACAAATCATTTGTTAAGTGAATGATTCTTCCCCGAACGGCTGGGCTCCACTGGTTCGGGGTGTGAAGATAGACAAGCCTTTGACATGTATGAGAATCCATGACAACACGTGGTTTTCAGCTATTTGTTGTTTAAAAAAAAAAGACGCCGAAATCAGTGTGACAGAACGCAGGGACAGCCGTCGTTAGCGTTGTGCAGTTAGTCATTTAGCTCACTGATCTAGATCATTTTAAGATCAAAGCAGTGATACACATACATATGGTATATTTAATGCCACATAAAAAGTATGCAAAAACAGCCTAGTTGGCCAAAATGGGCTGAACGTGTTACTTTGTGTGTGTGTGTCGATTCAACGTCCCCGCTAAAAACCGAAGATTTTTGAAAAATGCTTTTAAAGCCCCAAGTTACAAGAGTCATGTGAATATTTTTCTGTATTCAGTTTGCACATGCAAGTCTTACCAACAAAACAGCATTGTTCACACAAGCGTGATCTCTGCATGTACACGTCTCGGAGCCTGAGAATCCCATCCAGGGTGGACCGAACGCTGCCTTTGCTCCAGCCCTGCGGGAGCAGGACCGCACCTGACCCGCCCTCCCAGCTCCGCGGGGCCCAGGGGCCCAGGGACTTGCCCAGGGTCGGACTATGGCTCAGAAGGGACGGACTGCCTCAGATATTTTCTAAAGCCGGTGCTTCTGGGGTGATGGGAACGGCCAGCGGGGTCACAGAAATGTATCAGGTCCCATGAAGGGCCCATGCGACTCATTGCTTTTAGGGGAGCATTTTCGATCATCCATTGCCAGTGCTGTGGGGGCAGGGAGCACCCCGTCGGCCGGCACTGTGGTCTTTAAGTTTGGGGAACAAACAAAGGTTTTCCTTTCCTTCCTGTCTTTTCCCCTCATCTTTCTCTTATTTCCTTCCTTCCTTCCTTCCTTCCTTCCTTCCTTCCTTCCTTCCTTCCTTCCTCCCTCCCTCCCTCCCCCCCTCCCTCCCTCCCTTTCCACTCTCACCTGGACAGGACCCCACCGGGCACCAGGGTCAGGACTACCTGAGCTGAGCAAACGGTCTGTAAACAGGTTCTGACGGAGGCTGCCTGGGGTCCGTAACCTCGGGAACCAACACGTGTCCGGTGGGGGCGGCGGGCACACAGCCCAACACCTGGGTCAAAATCACTGAGCCCACAAAGCATGCTGGGGCGCCTCCAGCACTGTTTTGTGGGTGTGCCTGACCTCGAGGACAGAGAGACCGGGGCGGACTCGGGCGGTTTACCTGTAGCGTGGGGGCGGGTGGCCGTCCCCAGCACAGCGCAGGGCGACTGCAGGCCACGCGGAGTCCAGAGGGAAGGTGACGTCCTGAGGCTCCTGCGTGAAGACAGGACGGCGGAAGGGTCCGTCACCTGAGAAAGGAAGAAGAGTCCCAGGTGAGACAGCACCTGCTCCCCGGGCCAGGCCGGGCCACGTCATGTTGGCACCTCACAGTCTCAGACACACACAGTGCGCTGCAAAAACGGCACAAGAGATGTTTTGAACCATTTTCGTTACTTTGCAAACGGATGCTCGCCACCCCACATAAACCAGCTCTCGCCCGTACAGGAGCAATTCTTGGGCGTAAGTACAGTCAGTTGGTTTTTCAAATCAGGACATTGGCATCGATTCAGTACCAGCCTCCGGTCCTCAGGTCCCACCTTTTCCGACTAGAACCCTCCACGGTGCAAGGGTCCAGCCAGTCACACGTCCCCTCACGCTCATGTCTTCAGTCCCCTGCACTGCGGAACCTCCCAGCGGGCCCCGACCCCTGACCTTGACCCCTTCCCAGATTCCGGAGATGACAGGACAGGGACCTGCACAGTCATCTGGGTGGGCTCCTCTGAGCACCCACAGCCAAGGGCAGGGTGGGCCTTGGCTGGAGCTGTGTGCTGGGGGAATTTATAAACGGTCTATGAAGACCTTTTTTTTTTTAATCCTCACCTGAGGATATTTTTCCATTTGTCTTCGGGTGGAGTGGGAGGGAGAGAGAGAGAGAAACACTGATGTAAGAGAGACACTTGGACTGGTCGCCTCCTGCACGACCCTGACCAGGGCTGGGGATGCACCGCAGCCGAGGTGCGTGCCCTCGACCAGAATCGAACCTGCGACTCTGGTCCACAGGCCGATGCTCTAACTGCTGAGCCAGACCGGCCAGGGGCACGGACCTTTGCAAACAGTGATGAAGCCAGTGACGTGGATTTTAGAAAACGATCACATGACAAAGCCTCCCCCTGCCAGACAGCGGGCAGTGGGCACAGGGACGCCCCCCCCGCCCCTCCGGGACAAAGCGCTCGGGTTGCTCTGAGAAGGCCTCTCCTTTTCCCTGCAGGAGAGATTTCATTCCCAAGGTCCAGACGTTCTGAGACATGAAGGCCACGTTGTGCGTAGACTGAAGCCCGGAGGAGGCCGCAGTGCGGTCCCCAGAGCACTGCCCACGGCGTCGGTGGCCGAGGGCACGGGAGCAGGGGCGGGGCCGAGAGGCAGCGGCATGCGTGTCCATGCGGATTATTTATATTTCAGGACCACAGGGACAAGCTGTTTGGCGGCTGAGGTCAAGGGGCCAAGGAGATGTTCCGGGTCTTTGACCTGATTGCACCCCCGGCGCAGAGCTTTGCAAGGTAACGTGGGAAAAGGAACATCATGCCCCCGAGCACACAGCACCTGGGGGCCTCTCCTGACTCCCCGAGCGAAGGTGTTAGCAACCCCAGAACCGTCATCACCGGCCAGGGAGCCGCGGCCCACGGGCCGCTCTCCGCCCAGGCTGTGTCCGCCCGAGGTGCACGGTTCCACGGACCCGCCGCGACAAGCCACGGGGACCTCTGGGAAAGGTGACTGGGGAAGCACTCCGACAACCTGTGACCAGCAGGCACAAGGACTCCAAGGGACCACTGCTCGATGGTGACGGATTTGGTGCCGTTACGAGTCAGCACGCGGTCCGACCCCTGCCTGGTGCTCATCGCCGGCGTCCTACTGACACCAGCGGGTTTGGGGAGGCAGGTCCCCCGAGCGGCCTCCCGTGGAGAGCTGGCCTCAGTCCCACGGACGCCTTTGCGGGCTGGATTCTCTCTCGTCCCCGTCACGTACGTCCCCCGCGCTCTGGGCCTTGCAAATGCCACCAGACCTGTCAGAAACGACTTGCCCTTTGTGGAACGGCCTGATTAAGTTTTATTGGCTCATATCTGTCTGGACAGATGGTAACCTCGTTCCTGGTCCCGTCTTGGGGTCTTGCCTGGAGCCACAGGCAAGGTCTCCGGGTCCCTCCTGCTCCCTCCTCCCGCCCGGGGAGAGGTGTCTGGTTTACCTGGTTCCCTGTCAATGGGAAATAGCTCAGCTACTCTTTTGCAGCTGTTGGTTTACGATTTATTTCTTTAGAGATAGATTTATGTTTTTTCATTTTTTTTTCACCACGAACAAAACGTTATGAATTAAATTGTCCGGTGGGTAAACTCATGCCTGCGTTCGCTGCCCTCGCCAAGGTGATGGCTCGCCCCAGGGATGCTCTTGGGAGTGGGCCGGCTCTCATCCTCTCTACGTTCCTCTCTTGCCGCACCGGGTTCAACGTCACAGGCACCGTACGTACACCTGACGAACGCAACTGCGGGTCAGAGAGGAATGCGCGGTGGAGCTTACAGAGATGCCTGGGCCGTTTACAGAGATGCCCGGCCGTTTACTGAGATGCCCGGCCGTTTACAGAGATGCCCAGCTGTTTACTGAGATGCCCGGCAGTTTATTGAGATGCCCGGCCGTTTACAGAGATGCCCGGCCGTTTACAGAGATGCCCGGCTGTTTACTGAGATGCCCAGCAGTTTACTGAGATGCCCAGCAGTTTACGGAGATGCCCGGGCCGTTTACAGAGATGCCCGGCTGTTTACTGAGATGCCCGGGCCGTTTACTGAGATGCCCAGCAGTTTACGGAGATGCCCGGGCCGTTTACAGAGATGCCCGGCTGTTTACTGAGATGCCCGGGCCGTTTACTGAGATGCCCAGCAGTTTACGGAGATGCCCGGGCCGTTTACAGAGATGCCCGGCTGTTTACTGAGATGCCCGGGCCATTTACTGAGATGCCCGGTAGTTTACGGAGATGCCCGGGCCGTTTACTGAGATGCCCAGCAGTTTACGGAGATGCCCGGCAGTTTATTGAGATGCCCGGCCGTTTATGGAGATGCCCGGCCGTTTACTGAGATGCCCGGCAGTTTACGGAGATGCCCGGCTGTTTACGGAGATGCCCGGCTGTTTACGGAGATGCCCGGGAGTTTACTGAGATGCCCGGGCCGTTTACTCGGGTACCTAAGCAGTTTACGGAGATGACAAACACATGATCCATTTTTTTTGGACACCTAATCAACAGAAGACTTTCCTTGTCTTACAAGCAGTGAAACAGGCTGAGCCCCTGACTGAGACGCCCTTGTGCTTTCTGGTCCTTCCTTAGGGGTTCACCAGGTCCGAGGTTTGGCTCTGATGCTCTCACGTGAGGTTGAGCGTGAACCGGCTCCGTGGCGAGGGGAGGCGATGCCGCTGGACTTAGCACGTTTCGCCCTGTGAGCTGCCCCTGGGTCCCTTCTCCTCCTCCCTCCCAGGTGCTCCTCCCTCGCACCCGTCCCACCTGCTCCCCTGCTCCCCAAGGGCACAGCTGGGCCATGCGCCGCTCAGCCCACCCGTGGGACATGCAGGGAGAGGTTTTTTTTTTTTAACTCAACCAGCACTTTCTTAAGTTCACAGTCATTATTTTATACCAGTATAAAACTAATAGATGTTCATTACGACTATTTGCAAGACTCAGAAAGAGAAAGAGAAAAAATACCCAATTTTGCCCCTGCAGAATAACTACTCTTAAGATTTTGATGGCTATAATTCCAAGATTTTTAACTTTTAAAGTCTGCTGTTATTCAGTTAAGAACATAACCAGTACATACCCTGCTATTATTTAGTGCTAAATTTTAGTTTTCATGGAGCTATACATTTTGAAAATTTTCACATTCATCATGTGTCTAATACGTCTAAATAAAAATGTTTACATCGATTTATGTTTAAGTTTTCTGTCATAAATAATGTAATACTAAGTGGCTTCCTATATTTATGATCATTTCCTTAGCACAGTTTTCCAGAATAGATTGAATGGATCTAAGAGAATTAATGTTTGAGGTTTTCTGATCATTATCATTCATTTTCATTTGATTGGATCTTGTCGAGTCAGGAGACAGTCTTCAGAGCAAAAAAAATTGTTTTCAAGCCTCACCCAAGAATATTTTTCTATTTATCTTCGGAAGAGTGGGAGTGAGGGACATAGAGAGAGAGAGAGAAACATCGATGTGAGAGAGACATTGGTTGGCTGCCTCCCACACGACCCCGGCCAGGGCCAGGGACGAACCGCAACTGAGATACGTGCCCTTGACCGAATCGAACCCAAGACTCTTTGGTCCCCGGGCTGACGCTTAACTGCTGAGCCAAACCGGCCAGGGCCCTGCTGGGGTTTTTTTAGACCAAGAAATGAAGCCCACATTATATTCAGACCTCGATCTACGGAAATGTAGACATCAGCCTTAAACGTCCGTGCTGACCCCAGACCCCGCACAGAGGGCTGAGGGTCAGTCCGCACGGCTGTGGGTGTCGCTGTCCCTCACGGTGCAGCCTTCACTGTTCCTCGTGGGGTGGGACGGCAGAGCCGATGCTGTGACCTTTCTTGTCACAGACAGCCGTGGTTCACTGGTGAGTTTGCCGACTGGACGATGAGGGTACCTCAGGAGTGATGGGGAGCTCACCTCTGGGCCCCCAGTGAGCTCTTTTAAAAAAAGTTTTGTTGAACTTATTGGGGTGACCTTGGTTGATAAAACGATATGGGTTTCAGGTGTACCATTCTGTGATACATCATCTGTATATTGTGTGTTCACCACCCAAAGTCAAGTCTCCTTTCATCGCCGTTCACCCCCTTTACCCTCTGCTCCCTCCCGCACCCCTCTTCCGTAGGCACCACACTTTGTCTGCGTCTATGGGTTTGTTTGCTTGTTCTTTTGTTTAATCCCTTTTCCATCCAGCCCCCCAACCCCTCCCCTCCGACAGCTGTCAGTCTGTTCTCTGTGTCTGTTTTTATCCTGTTTGTTAGTTTATATTGTTCATTAGGTTCCACATAGAGGTGAAATCATGTGATACTTGTTTTTCTCTAACTGGCTTGTTTCCCATAGTATAATGCTCTCCAGGTCCCTCCGTGCTGTTGCAAAAGGCAAGACTTCCTTCTTTTTCATGGCTGAGTAGTTCTCCACTGTGTACATGTACCACACTTTTTGTCCCCTCTTCCACTGATGGGCTGCTTCCAGGTCTCAGCTGCTGTCAACTACAAGTTGGGCTGTAATCAGACTGCTTCCCGAGGTTTCTT